CCACTCGCCGACCAGAGCCTTTTCCTTTGCACGGGTCTGTCCTGTCTGCCAGGCGGAGCAGCCGAAACTTGTGAGTTCGAGATGCTTGGAAGCTCCCATGCTTTGCACATTTCCTGTTCTGTCCCTGTAAGGCTCGGGGCCTGGCAGACTTGTGTGTCTCTGTCTGCGGGTGTGGGTGTGCGGGTGTGTGTGTGTGTGTACACGAAAATGACGCACATGGCTGCGTGGTGCGTGTTGGTGTGCGCGGGTCTGGGTCTGGGTCTCTGTCTGTATTTGTGTGTATCTTTATATTATATATACAAATGTATGTAAATGTATATGTTTACGTGAGTGATATATGTGTCGTATTATGTTCTTATGTGTGTTTTTGGTTGGCTGGCTGGCTGCCTCACTGGCTTGCTGGCCAATCAGCTGGGTGGCGGGTGTGATCCAAGCGATGTCTTGTAGCAGTCCCCCCTTGGCTCGAAGAAGCGATGGGAGCTCGGAAACGGTAAAGCGCTCTCTGCTTGCTGCCTCATCTTGGCCAGACAGAGCGACGATAGCTCATGCGCACAACTAAGGCTTACAGGTCTATTCCGGGACGGTCTCCTACGCAGTGTCAATGCATTGGCTGGCTGTAGGTGATGGATGGCGAGTGTCAAGATGTAACACATGCTCAAACATGCGTATGAACCCTTGGCAGCTTGTCTGCCAGCTCGATTTTGGCTTTGCATGGCCGAAACTTAAACGAATGGCGCTGACCCGACAGTCTATGCATATCTTCTGCATTTGGGTGGCACGACGAGGTCATTTACCATGTGGCATGATGGTGGCGGCAACTGCAGAAGAGTTGCCACCCAAACGCAACAGTAACTTCAGGCTTGCAAAAGCCTGAGCTCCAGGCCTCCAGGCCTTTCGAAATTTGAGTGCATGCTGAGATCAAGGTGGGTCGGAAGCCCATCCGAGGATCTTGTGCGAGACTCAAAGGCAGCAACCAACTACTTCATTCTGGCGACGCCTGGCTTCCATTTAGAGTTCGGCAAGCATACTACACATGCTACACCATTTGCTGGCATGCGCCGCCCACATTTCCTAAAACCCACATGGCTCTCGACTGGAATGCGAACCCCAAAACCATACTTCCGGCACTCCATGAAAACTCAAGAAGTCTAGGCTCATGGTTCATCGGGGTTGGCTGCTTCCCATGTTCATAGCTTGGTCGGCTGGTTGTCTGCACGAAAATCCAGGTGCTGAAAGCACCGAACTGCGCAAGCTTGGATAGCTTACAGGTGCGGCAAATGCCTCCTACGTACTCCTTCATGCACATGGCACCACGTCCTGACGTCTGCAACAAACGGTCCCGTAGATCCCGCATATACATTGACAGTGAAACTTCGGTGGCTGGCCACGGGCGAAGAGGCAAGCAACAGCACAAAACACGCCGCGTGCGCACAACTGGGACGTTGATTCGCCTCGACTAGATGTAGATATGTGTCAAGTTAATGGTCCGGGGGGCCGGGGGGGGGACCGGATTTAATTAAAGTTAAAGGCCGCTCAGAAAAGTCGACGACACCTCTCGCCCAGCTTTAAGGAGCTGCTGCTTCCTCGGTTCTAGCTGCTGGCACCTCCCAGAACTACAAATCGAAAAACACATTTTTCAGGCTGTTCTTTCCCTTGGTCCAACTTGGCGCACAGCGGGCGGAACCTCACGGGGACCCGGGAAGATCGGGGCAACAAAGGAGTCAAGGTTATGTCCCCGCAGCTGGCAGCAGGAGTCTGAAGTCTGAAGCAGATCACACCATAAGGAAATGTCTAGCCCAGCCGTTCAAGTCAATATGCTCTTGCTTCATTGTCGTCTGTATACCGCCGAGCTCCAGCCCATCCCAAGCACCCTGAATACTGATGTTGGTGCCAGCTGCTTCATTGAGCCTGTAGCTGACACTTGGGACTTGGGAAACAATCCACACCGGAAGCCTTCGACCCATCAGCCAGACACACTTCTGCCAACCAGTGAAGACTGAAAAAACACAACGTCAGCCCGAAACTGCTTCCCTCTGCAAGCTTCGAGAAAGGTGACATTCTGGCCACAAGCCCTCCAGCATGCTTGGGAACATCCCGGCCCCTCGAAACGTGCGTAACGCGCGGCTGCCACTGATGGGCAACTCGAGAACAACAGGGTCTCAGCACGGGGTCCTCCGCCGCCCACCATGGCAAAGGGGTTTCAAACTGAAACGAGACTTGAGGACCACTAGCATGGACAGGAGTAGGCAGAAACTAGTAGCTAGTAGAAACGAATGGCATGGCTGGCCGGGCTTGTCAGCGTACTCAGGGCTGGGTTTTGAGTTCGCCGCACCACATTCCAGGGGTGTTGTAGATGTAAAATTTTTGGACGCCTACACTGGGACAATGCCAGGCAAGGTAATTCGGGTTCGGGGCTGCGGCATCGAAGCAGAATGGAATCTTGGAGCCCCGAGATAGCGACCGCAGATGGGGTAATGAGGGTAATTCCGTCTGAAAGAGTGTCGACGGTCATATAGTCATACGACTATCGAGAGGAACGTAGAACCCAATTCAAAATGTTGGTGGGTCACGGTCGGCATCCGGCCAAGACCCCGGAGAACATAGCCTCTGCTGGAGCAAGTAGCACCCACTGAAAAGCACGCAGACAGTGATTGGGCACCAGGAAAGTCGACCATACCATCAAAACGCCAAAACGACAGCTTGCACTGGTGGCCATACGGTCATGCCCCGTTCTGAACGGCAACAGTCTCTCGTCGTCCTGACAACCCCAAACCCATCGAAGAACGCATGAATCTTGCAGCCCTTCTGTGTGCGCAACTTGCTCGAAAGGGCCAGTGCCGAGGCACGGAACTTAGCTGTCAGACCGAGGACTGCGATGACTTCTTGGCCTGGCTCTGCACATGCTGTCCCGGTTTACGCGTGGGCCCTACAAAAGCTCTGGTGAGCCGCCAAATTCTGAGGTGTTGATGATGGGATTCGCTCACGGTAATTGCGACTCTCCGAGCGATTTGTTCTTTGAGGTCTAAGGGATGCGGTGACACCCCCTCAGTACACTCGCCAAACCCTACACAACCGAAGCCGAAGTCAACCCCCTATCTCGAGCAACCGGCCTTCCATCACGACTCACGCAACGCTGGCAGAGGACAAGCAAATTCAGGCTGGAGGCCAATTCAAGACGTGAGGGCTTGTTGCGCTCCAATGCTGCTTCCTTGTTCTGGATTGCCAGCCTCTGTCCGTTCTAAATCCTATCACCTTTGCTTCAGATTTCATCACTGTGCAAGATGAGGCTGGTTCAACCCTTCAAGCCGTCGCCCAGGCCTCCAGGAACGCCCAGAGCTTAACTCCATCCTCAAAAGGATTTGCCTTGGCATCTGGATTCTGGAAGGTGCTTTGGGCAAATGACTCTATCAGTGTTGATGAGTCTTTGGAATTCAAGCAGAGACGGCCAAACTCCAAAGCCAGAAAGGCACCCTTCTTCCTTTGTTCGAAGGCTCGGATGGCCACCATTGCCGTTGCCAGGGCCAGAGTGGCAGAAACAGCGACACCAGGCTTCTCCTCACGACGGTCGCGGTGTGATTGTCAGAGATTTGCCAGCTGTGTTTTTCACGCCTGCAAGCTACTTATGGGCTTCCGGCGAGGTACCTGTAAGAAAAGCGCTTCAGTTTTCCAGATAGATGGATGTACTAAGCAAAAGATGTACAAAAAATGTCAAAAAAAGATAGCTGCTTTGAAATAGATAAACAAACACATAGACATAGACACCTGCACACAAACACAAAACGGCACATCGCATACATATGCAGCTGTCTAACCTACAAATACACAGCCGACAAGTGGTTCGGTAGATAGGTAGATAGATAAAGAAATAGATAGATAAATAGACAGATGAACAGATAGAGCGTCAGACAGCTACCACTGCTACCACTGCTACTACTACTACTACGACGACGACGACTACTACTACTGCTACTACTACTGCTGCTGCTGCTACTACTACTACTACGACTACGACTACGACTATGACTTCGACTACGACTACGACTACGAATACGACTACCACTACTTCTACTTCTACTTCCACTTCGACTACGACTGCGACTGCGACCGCGACCGCGACGACGACTAAATACTAACTACTTAGTACTTACTACTTACGCCTTGCGACTTTCGACTTTCGACTTTCGACTTACGACTTACTACTCACTACTCACTACTCACTACTCACTACTTACTACTTACTACTTACTACATACTACTTACTACTTACTACTTACTACTTACTACTTACTACTTACTACTTACTACTTACTACTTACTACTTACTACTTACTACTTACTACTTACTACTTACTACTTACTACTTACTACTTACTACTTCTA